TGCTGGGAGTGTCACAAGAGAATCAATCTGCAACCCCATGAAAAATAAACAGAAATAAGCACAAAAACAGATGGACATCTCTTAATCCCCTGTAGCTGAAGACAGGATTTTGCTCATGTTTTTAGAAGATTCCCCCTTCTAAAGATTTCCATCAACTCAAATCTGGTTTTGTCGTAGAAGCTGCATCCATGAGAGTTACACTCTTACTTCCTTTTCCCCATCCATTAGCATGTAAGCTATAATTCAAAAAGTCTTTTTTTTCAATCCAAAACAAATCCTCTCTCTGAATTCAAAAAAGAGCCATTTACACCAGTGGTTTGCTTCTTTCTAATTAAATAATTCTCAAGACATCAGACCTTAAGAAGAATGTTTTCAAAGGCAGCTGTTCTGCTAATCAGACAAAATACCTGAATGATGGCAATTTACTTAGAGTCACCTCACAGAGGGACACACACACTATGATGTATTCTCAGGCACAGAACTAACTCTACTGTGTGCATGCAACCTCAGGGTTTACTACACTTTCAGGATATTTTTAATGATTGAATTTAACATTTCCAAACACTGGCAGAAGGCTCCAACCCACATTTTAACAGAAGCCTGTACTGCTAAGCAGTGCCTCAGTCTTTTTACATAAAAGGATATGCTCAATACATATCTTGGGCATACAAGGAACAAAAAAATGCACTTTGCCTTATCTTAAGTAAGATAATAGCTTGTGTTAGACTTAGCTCAATCCACATGTGACTGTTCTTCATCCTCCAACTAACCTTCTAAATATCCACCAGATGTCAACAGCTCAGAGACCCCCTTAAACAGGGGGGGTGAGATCCCTAGCAGGATCAATGGCAAAAGTCTGGTAGAGTAGAATAACAAGACAACAAGAGGACAGAGAGGCTGGCTAGTAAAGTTAGGATGCTGGTGCATGCTCTGAGTTTCTGTCATGTCAAGTAACACTCCTAAACAAATAGATTCATCCTCACCTACTGTACACATAACAACATCAATACAGTCTAAAAACACAACTGAAATACAAGGAATGAAGCCTAGGCAGGAAGACTTTATATCCCTACATAAGGAAATGTTACTGAAAACACCCTCTGAATTATTTTTCACAGCAAAACATAAGCAAACGTGAGAAGTAAACTGCAATTTAGCTCTTGAAGTTGTGTGGTACACGAAAGTATTTTGTGTACTTTGGACTTCATCCAAAGCAAATATTCAACTGCTTTTCTTTTAAACACATTTGGAGGTCAATAAATATTGTCCTTTCCCTAACATTAGTCCCACACAAACTGGCCAATATGCATCCACAAAACAGGGAGTAAAGTAATGTCTGTGGTCACATGAATTATCTGGCTTCAATTTCAATTCCTACCATAGATTTCCTGTTTGATCCTGTGTACAAGGGTTAACCTCTTTGTATATATCCATCTGCCAAAGAGAGTAAATAACTCCTGCCTCCTTTCTGGTAGTTTATGAGGCTCTGAGGGCATGCCTCTACCACAGGTGCAGGCACACTCAAGCTGTCTCCATATGAGGTGCACTAATTGTATTTCTCATTTTTCTAGGGATTCAAATTAGAATGCCCAGTATTCAATTTACCAAAGTGCCGAGTGCTCAGAACAGGAAAAGAAGTTAAAGGGAACTGTTTGGAACAGTAAGATGGATATATGTTAACTGCATAATAATTCTTCTCTGTAAGTATGCTGAAAAAGAAGGCCAAAGGCATCTCCAGCGGGTACCCAAAATGAATGAGCATTTCTGTAATGAAACTCAGTGCCTCAGGTCTTCTCTTCTTAAACAAAAGCAGCTTTATACCTTTTGGGATGTTGTAAAGACACCATTCATTCATTCATTCATTCATTCATTCATTCATTCTCTAAGACACTTAATAGCTAGAATGCTAAGTATAGTTTTAAAACACACCAAAAAAAAAAATCTATTTGCAAAGCACAGCTTAAATGACCTGCAGTAAATAAGGCATAGGTTGGAGCATGAGGACAGAGAACATTGAGCAGTATCTTTCATTCTATACATTTATTGAGGAATAGACCCAGGGAACAACACTGTGTAATAATATCATACGAATCAGAACTTAAATTAGGTTATGTAGACAAATTGCTTTATTTCCTACTGTTTTGGTGTCTGATTTTGTAACCATATCATTCCTTCACTACAGCTTTTTTCATTAAATTTCTCTAACTCAGGATCTGTAGGTGGAAAACAGAAATTTTATTCCAAGTCTTACATCAATCAAGAGCAATATTTCTCAAATTAATGGAATTAAAGTAAATAAAAAGTCAAACTTTTGGTTTCTGAAAAGTGTAAGCAACATATAAGCATTTGGACTCAGTGTGCTAAAGTTAGGCAGCAAAATAAGGTCTTACTTATAGACTGCTAACTTTTTTCAAGTAATTCTTAAAGTCTAGTGAAACTTTAGAGTATCAATACTGAACATTCTTTTCTGTAAATAATCAAGAATAGCAGAAATTTTCTGAGTCCCTGCTATGAAACTTTCACTTTGCCACTACCCTTCCCCCACATAATCACGTGGTTTTAAATCTGGGGGCAATTCACACCTCTTATGCTTTCCTCCAGAAATCAGATAACACAAGGTATTTGCTGAGTATTCTGAAAAGATTAAGTGAAATCGTAAGGATTCTATGGAAGAAAGTAATCAGTATAACAGAGGGGATAATAAGGAAGCTGATTAGAATAAAGATACTGGTGTGATATAGCCCATTTGGGATTTCATGTATGAAAAGATAAAAAGATGAAAGAAGAGGAAGAACAAAGAGCAAGACACAACAGTTCCTTGGAAGGGAAAGAAGGAAAAAAAAGAAAAATGTATGACCTTATAATATCTAATTCTCCTAGCATGTATATACTAAATGGTAGTTGTGTTTGTGACTCGTTTCTGGTCATGTTAGAACACAGTTTGAATAAAAAAAGGAACTGCGCTGTATGTCTGTTTTAACAAGTGCCAAGCCAAGTGATTTACAAAAATGCTTCACTCCTCATATCTGCAATGGCATTTTGCAAAATTCTTGCCACATGCTGCACAGTGATGGTTGTTTGGTTCTTTGCCCCCCTCCATCTGAGAGGTGGCAGAATTTTCATGCTGTCTTTTGTCAGCACCTTCAAGAGCATCTCAGTGTTGAACTCAGGTTTTCTTTCCACCTTGTAGATGAATAGTTCAGTCATCATGGCACTGTGGCATTGTTCTGCGCAGGTGAGCCCCATGAGAAGAATGGGTAAGGGAAAAAAAGCAAAGCTATGCATTACAGAAAAAAAAAAAAAAATCAAACAACAACAACAACAACAAAAACATTACTTAGATGGTGTCATACAAGTCATACCACATACACACTTTAACTAAGCACTGTATGGCCACCAGTCATTCTTGTTCCATCTACAGCTGGAGACATTTGTGAATATTCCTACACAATTTATCAGAGTAGGACCTCTCAGGACCCCTTCTGACAACCTCAACTTTGCAAGGTAAATACTGTTCTCAAATCTTCAAGGAAAACTGTTGAAAGTGACACAATGAAAGCAAGGCTTACATCTTACTGAGACTATCAAATGTGTTGCACAGGACTGTAAACAAACACATGAATAATTTGCCCCTCTGTCCCCAGCAGGAGGTGGATTTGGCATTGCTCTAGTACTTCTAGCACTCCTAAAGCTGGAGGCTGGTACAGGAAAAGATAAACTGGCTGCAGTCTCAGTGGTGGACACAGTCACCCACACATGGTGTTGAGAAGAGACTAGACAAACAGATGACAGAGCAACTGGTTCCCGCTCCCCCAACTCCTATCCCAGCACAAAGACAAGTAGCATTCAAACTAGAGGTGCTAGCTTTTAAAGCTATGCCACAGATTAAAAGGAGGATAACCACAGATAGATGGGCTTTGCATGTGATCTCTGGAGAATTCTTCATGGAGAATAATACACCTTTCCTGACATTATATCAATCAAGAATGTGGCACACAGTGATCTTGGGATATGTAGATGCTTCCTATTTCTGTGTAGGCAGCAGAAAAATTATGTCTCCTGTAGCATAGTCTCTACTGTGTTCATCAGATTCTTGCTATCTGGGTTTCTTGTCCCCTGCTGCATCACTACAGATTATGCATTCTGTCTTTGCTGCCTGTAAGCATCTACCTCTGAAGAAACTGCAGCTGTCTGTCTTGGGAGCTTTAAATGCTGACATTTCTTGGTAGCAACAGCACCACAGTCTTGAATTTCCATGGCCAACTGTGTTTTCATGTCCAATTCAAACCACATCCTGAGCCCTTCAAATGACTTAAGGGGGGAATGAGCTACATCTTGACCTCACAAGACAGAACCCTGCCCTGCTTCCAAAGTGAGAATCAACAATTCAGTACAAGACAGCGAACTTGTGCAGTGAGATCCCAGATGGGTCGGTTTCTGGAGATCAAGATGGGTGCCAGTGCTGTGCCTGTGACTGGCAGGAGGCACCACCAGCCAGGAGGAGAAGGGATAGAGTCACAAGCGCCACGTTCTTCGCACCACATCCTCGCATCACTTTAATTTACACGCGGCAGCATTAGAACACCGGCTCGGCTCCGGTCTCCGCAGCATCTCCGGGGACCGCTCCCGGCCGGAACGAACGCTCTCACCCCGGCGCCCTGCGCCGATTCTCAGCCCCTGTCTCTTTCGGGAGAGGGTGGGCACCCCAGCCCTTTTCGCTGCTGGGGGGAGGACGAGGCAAGGGCAGCCCCCCAGGCAGAGGCAGGGACAGGGATGGGGCAGGCAGGAGCCGCCCCCGCGCGGGGCGGAGGATGGGAGCGCTGGCTCCTCGCCCCGCGTCTCCACCCGAGAGGCGGCCTTGGTACTGCCTGAAGCCGTAGCCGCTTCGCTTCGCTCCCGCCCTCCCTCTCTCGTCCCCACCTCTCCTCCAAAACCGCAGGAGTCGCTACGGTTCCGCTTCACTCTCTCCGGTGCCAGCGGCGGAGGGGGTGCGAGGGGACCTCAGTGCAGGCACGGCCCGGAGCGGGAGCAGCCCCGCATCCTCCCCGCTGCCCCTCTGCCATGGCCCTTGTCGCGGCCCAGCGCTGACGATGCTGCAGGGCGCCCCACGGCCGGGCGGCTGGGATCGCGGCCGGGTGGGCGAGAGGCTGCAGGCGGCCCTCGCCGGCCTCCAGGAGCTCCAGGTGCTTCGGGAGAAGCAGCGGGAGCTGGTGCGGGCCGCCCTGGCCATGCCGCAGCGCCCGGCGGCGGGCGGAGAACAGCAGCCCCTGTCCGCCCACATCAAGGAGCACCGTCTGGAGGTCACCCTCTGCGCCCTGAAGGAGCAGCTGGTAAGGGACCGCAGTGGACGGGACGCCCCGCTGCCCGGCTCCGTGAGCCCAGCCGCGGTGCCGAGAGCGGGCGGACAGAAGCGGCGCTGGGCTGTCAGACACCCGGCTCCCCTTCGGGAGCCGCCGGCGCCGTGCCGGCACCGAGGGCACGCGGGGCGCTGCAGCCGCGGCCCCTGCGCTGCTCCCGCCCCGCCGGCCGCCGTTCCTCCGCGGGCAGGGGCGAGCGACCGGGCCGGGGGCGGTCGGGGCGAGCCCCGCCACAGCCGCTGTAGCGGGCGGGCGCTGCCGCGGCTCAGGCTGGGCTCGCCCGGACAGCCCGGAGCGGGCAGTGCTGGCGGCGGGCGCCGTGCCAGCGGGAGCGCTGGAGAGAAGTTGTTAACCCGGCGCAGCTCATTCATAGGTGCCGAGGAGTAGGCGATGATTAACTTCTGTAATACTGCGCTCAGCTCTCAATGGCAGCAGCCCTTTGCATAGGAGATCAAGAGAGACGCGGGCTGAGATACACCTACATAAGCGCTCGGGGGTTTGGGTGGGTGTGTGCGCGCACACCTCTGCGCCTCCACCTGTGAGCGCGCACCGGTGTATGCCCGAGCGGCTGTGCGCCAGTGGGAGTTGATCTGCCAGGAAACGCTCCGTGGGACGGGAGTACTTTGTTCTTTCCACGGATTGCGTGATCAAAAGGGGAGAATAACTGAATGCCTGACCTTGTATTTGAAGTGGCTGCACCAGCCACTCACACAGGGTTTTTTTTTGAAACTAAAAACCAATTCTGAATTGTAGCTGAAACGAGTTTTATAGGTGAGACAATAGTCAAAGCGTAAAGGGCTTTAATCTCTAGTATGGGAAATTACACACTTCAGTAAACTCAGACTTAGTTTCAGTAAACTCAGAACTCAGTTCAGAATCTTTTCCCTCGCTGTACTGGTGCAAGTCTTGGCCATCAGTTATCCATCAGGTGTGAAAATAGAACGGTTATTCGCTCCCCATAGGCAGCTTTCTCAGGCAGCATCTCAGGATAAAATGGGCTTTAACTTTCAGGGAAACCTAGCCACCACTGTGTGAAAACACAGCAGCAGGCATATCTTGATTAAGTTAAGAAAATACAAGACAAGTGGACAGCCAGCCACTTGATTACCCATCATTGATAGTCTTAACTAATGGCTCTACTTTTTTTTTTTTTTTTTTTTTTTTTAATTGAGCAAAAGAACTGAAGGCATTTATTGCCTGTTTGAGGCCAGTGGGGTAACAGGATCACACAATGAGCTCTGATCATAGTGACTGCACTTTTTTTCAAGTCAGCTGTTGTGCTGTAATTACTCGTTTGTCACAATATTTTTCAAATTAAAATAGAAGATTAATTTGTCAGAATTTTACTTGCACCTTACAAGGCTTTCCAAGAACGTGAGAAAAACTAGCCATTAAAATGGAAGGGAAAAAAGGCTACCCTTTTAACTGCTGCCCTTCAGAAATGTGTTGAGTGGACTCAAGAATAACTCTGCACGCCTCCAGAGAGGGACAGATTTCACCAGTAGGTGCCAGTGCAATTATAGGAAACGTGTCTCTTGGGATGCCTGGGAAGGAAGTGTTCATAAAGCTTCAGAATAATGACTCAGAAGTACATAAATCCAGGTACAGGTTCTTCAGCAAAAATACAGTTGTGCTTAAAGTAGTAATACAGAGCTCTTCTGATTGACCCATGGCTCCTGAAGGCTTTTCAAACTGTACTGTTCAGGCCTCCTTGTAGCTTTATTGGTTTTTTCCCCCTGCAAATTGCAGGTGTGTATCTGAGTAGAGGTGCATACCTCAAATTTCCTTAACAGCAAAGTAAACCCAGTTGAAAACAGGCTTGTCACAGATCTAGGATCTCAGTGACCAGAGGCTGAAAACTTTCCCGGTGACTCATGAACAGTGTATTGCACTTAAAACCCATGAAAGTTCTGTTCATGATTGCAGGAAATGAAGTTAAAACTGAAAGCAACAGAAAATGCAGAGCGTAGCATTGCTCGATATGTCTTCAGCAACAACAGCAGCTGTTGTTGTTGGCCCATGGAGGGTACAGTATGTGATTGCTCTCTATAAACTTTCAGATTGAGAAACTCATTAACAGTGTAAATGTAACTTTTCCTTGCAGTGCACCTTGCTCCAGATTGCAAGGAGGACTGTAGCCCTGAGCTTTAGCGTTGTCACAGTTTAATTCATAAAAAGTTTCGTCCTCACAACATAAAATGAGAAAGCTGTGTCAGCTGAAAGTGGCTCAGGGCATCTTAGCAATGGAAACAAGGCAGATAAAAAGTCAAGCCAGACTTCTTCTCTAATGGTAGGATGAGAAACAGGAGAGCAGAGGCAGAAACCTTAAGGACTTGAGTCTGACTACTGGGAATAATAGAGCAGAACCATCAATTGCTGTAGGTACCACGCGTGGATGCCATTCTAGAATCTCAGTCTCTTCCCAACATTTACCAGGGGCAGTGATCAGCTGGCCTTCTAGCACTCTTCTATAGGCAGTCTGCTACCCCTAACAGTCTTGCCCTTTTTTGCCCTAACCACTGGCTCTTTTTGGTGGCCAAGGTATTTTCTGGCAACTGCAAATTACTACAGTGCAGGTGGGGTGAATTCTGTAGCAGAAGAGGAACTGAGTTAAGTGATGCCACCCACTTTCAGAGACCCTGAAGGTGCTAAGCTTCTGTTAGCCAAACTGTATCATAGTGACAAAGAGGAAAAAGAAGAGATGCAAATTCAGGCTAATGCAAAGAAAGAAATCTATGATTGCTGTCAGTGTAGGTAGATATCGAAGGCTGCAACATCCAGTATGTTCTCAGCTCTTTCCTCCGAGGACATATTTATAAACCTTATTTTATTTTATTTGAATCTGATTATTTTGTTTTGCAAGCTTTCAGATGGTTTATGATGTTACAAAAATGTGAGAAGGGGCACATTATATACTGAAGAGATAAAAACAAACACTCGGTATCCTGCATTTTACGCAGATTTTTTTTTTCCCTTTAGATAATTTTAAATAGAAGAAATCATCTTTTAAACCATGGATTTTATTTTTTTTAAATAACAAAATTTTGTCAGCTGAAAGAAGGAAGTCCTTCTGGAAGGAATTTACCTTAGAGCTCTATTACAAGTGTCTGGGATAGATTATAGTAATTTCTCTCTGAAACTGGCTGCTTTGCACCATCAGTTAAAAAAAGACCTATATGTGGGCAAAACTAGAAGAGAATGCTATGTTTTGTGCATTCCAGAATGAAGTCAGATTAATAGAATTATAGGATGCTAATCTATAACCAAGAAGTGTCAACAGCTCCCCTTTGACTTTGAAGAGATTAATAGTTGAGAAGAATAGTCAAGTATGACCAGTAGGTTTTGGTACCTTAATTTGGGGTGCCCGCTTGTGTTGATGTAAAGGAGCCTTCTTTACAGAGAGTGTTCTTCCTTCTGAAAAATGGGTAGTATGATGATACTCCAGATTTGCCTCCCCAAAACTGTAGTCCATTGATAGTACATGTTGTTTGGGAAAGTTTGGTCCCACACTATGCAGTGTCCAGAATTCTTCACAGCTGCATTGCCTAAAGCAAACAGATGGTTTTACATGCAAGTTTTTGTCACATGTAAAATTCATGTGAATAGAGGAAAAGTGTATTTAGGGGTTACTGTTGTGAGTGCTGCCCAATGTGGGTATCGGAGAGATAACAGCCTGAAACAAACACACTGGAAAAGGCATTCTTATCCAAATGGTTTGAGGAATGCCTCTCTTCATAAAGTGCAGAAGCAATTAACTGAATGATCAAAGCGGGGTCAGTGGCTGGAAACATGAAAACCCAGTGGTGTGAGGCACTATAAAAGGGTTAAAAATGATGATGTAAATCATGTGTGTTGGTTAAAATGCTGTGAAAGCGCAGACAGAACCTGGAGGTATAATAAATAATGTTTGAATACCTGAGAGCCTTGTGGCCTCTCTGTCATTAATCAGAAACCACAGACTGAGGGATTGGCTGGCAAAACATTAATCATTAAGCAATTAATTCCAGCCATGGAAACAAAACTCTGTGATTTCCTGAGTAGGTGGGATTGAAGAAGGCATGGCATGGTTTTGCTTTTTTACCATGAAATAAAGTAGTACTGAGGAGGTCATACATCCATCATTCAGATGGAATAGAAAATCTTGTTTATTATCCATTTCTTCCCTTCTTTTTTGTCTATGTGAAACAGGAAGAGGAAAATCAGGGAAAATCACTATGGATTTCTCTAGGAAGCAGTAATGAGCCTCTTGAGTTTAAACCTTTCTAGATGTGTGACTAACAAAAAGGGGCTTTATTTCTTGTGTCTTATATGTTCCTCCAGTCCTCTTTAAAAGCATGCTAAAAAATAGCTATTTTTTTTCTTCTCAGCAGCATCAGCAGCCTCAAGAGATCTCTTGTGAAACTCAGGGCATCTGTATTTTTTTTCCTTACAATTTCTAATAATCTACTGATTTCCTTAGGATCTTAGCTTTCTTTTCTTTCAGTATTTATAGCTATGGAGAAACCCATGCAAATGTTAAAAGCTGAATAATTTGTACAAAAGGAAGGAGGCAAAAATGTGCACATACTGATCTTGATTTTCTGATGTAATTTAAGATACTTTAATTGGTTCAAGGAACCTAGATTTTTTATTTTTATATATTTGAGGTTGGAAGTGCTTCTAGAACTTTCACTTGTGTTTTAAATATGAAATGTACACATAAAGAACAATCTTAATAATGTTTTTCTTATCATTACTGAGTGGAAACCCATCCCCTTGAAGGCATTGAGCACAACTTTACAACCTACTTCAAGAGACCACCTTTCTATAATGTACGGTAGGATGGATGGTGAGGTGTGATATAATTAGAAGCTGCCTAAATAGTGACAGGGCTTTAAATAATTTGCCAGATGCCACGTGAGAAGTTTGTGACAGAAACAAGTGTGCTTCTTTGGCTGGTACCTCACACTGGCCATCTGCCTTGCCAAGCTGATGGCATAAATACTGGGGGAGCAACTGCAGGAGCTATTACCTCAGGTCAGCCTGGTCAGTGATTGCAGTAGGCAACAGATCTAGTTGCTGGCTTCTGAAGGATTATTCACCATTTATTTTAAATATAGTAATTTCCCCAGCATATTCAAATGCCATCTTCTTCCAGGAAATGGGTGGAGATATCGGGCCACAAGACAAACAAGGAAAACCTACAGTGAAATAGATGTCAGAATTCTTGCAGTGTATCCTTTCAACTATAAAGATGTGTCATCAAAACCGAGGGTTTTACTAGAGTGGGCATGCTGCCTTTACTTGGTAGGGCAATAAGATACCTCAGCCACAGCAGTTTCCTTTCATCTGGCAGATCTTAAGAGTTCATGCAGACAATCCATAACGTTTATCTTCTTTTGGGCTCAGAGACAGTGTATGGCAAAGTGTGGTGCAATAAGAATATGTTAATAAGTTAAAAGACTTCTGTCATATTTAGAGATACAGTTCCTGCCACGGGTATAACAAGAAAGCCAAAAGTTAAAATAAGTACCTTCAGAGTGTGTTTTGAGAACATGTTTAGCTAGGCAGAAGACAATATACACTAAGAAACTAAATGTTTTGTCCTTGTCCATTAGTTCAGTCTTGTTACAGAGAGCCAACTGCAACAGTCCCTAGCTAAGGAAAACACTTAATGAGAATAGAATCTTGCTGTCACAGATGGCCTGAATTCATGCATTCCTGCTGAGATTCTAACTGTGATTATTCTTCATTACCTCCTTCTTCCCTTGGTTTAGTCTCGTTTGAGGAGACAGGATATCGGCTTGAAAAGCCACCTGGATCAGCTAGACCAGCGAATAAGTGAGCTGAAATTGGACGTCAGTAAGACCTCCAGTGAATACTTGGATAGTGACAGCCGGCCCAGCTCAGGTAATGTGTGCTTGGCTATTTATTTCTAGGAGTATGGTGCTAGGAGAACTGAAGAGTGTCAACTGCTAAGCAAAACTCTCTGTATTATTTGGGCACAAATGGTGCCCCATGGCTGACGTGGATAATAGTCATCTGGCACAGAGGGGGCTCACATAGCTGCTAGGAATTTTCCTGCAAAGTTGATTTAGTTAGAAAGTGCTCACTTACTCAGGCAATATTCTTTTTGGATTTCTTTTTTTTTAATGAACCTAGTAGCCACACATGGAAGGAGAAGGAGACAGATTTATTTATTAAATTACCTTGTGCAGTGTAGAATGACCACTGGTAAAATAGCTAGAGTACTTAAAAGAAGTGGAGACCAAAATCAATATCAACACTCTGCTTGAATCCAGGAAGGGTTCTAAACCTCACTAGGGCTTTGAAAATCATTATTGCAGTGCTCCTATCAAATGAAGTTATGTAGAAGCAAAACAGCACTATTAAAAGACACTGAGAAAAACTATGCCGACAGAGTAAAGCTCTCATAGAAAGATACTGGGTATCAGGTTTCTGCACTGATTCACAGAGAGGCTGTACTGCAGACTTTTATAGCTAGGATGTCTGTCAAAACCGGTTTCTGTTATCTAGTCAGAGACAATGAAAGTAGTTCTTCTAAACAGAGTTTTTGCAAAGCCTCAAGTCTTCCGTGAGACAAGGAGATTTTTTTTTTTTTTGCGTACAACATACGGATTTGTAGCCTGGTACTCAGAGGGCATGTAAAAAGTGCAAGTTTCTGTTGTGTGTTTAAGTTCAGGAGTTGTGTGTTTAGACACATGCACATAGTTCAAAAGAAAATATTCCTTCTCTGTGCTAGAGAGGAATAATAAAATTTCCTACCTTGAATTTATACAAAGCCTTTTTTAATGCTTGCACAGTTACTGGAAATAGTCTCAATACTTGGAGAGAGAAGTCTCCATTCTCTGCCCTTAGGCATTCCAGCTATCATAGACTTGGCAGTTCTGATCACAGGCTAGTTTTGCTCTAACCAATCCACTCATCCAATCCATTCTTGTATGCACCTAGTACAAGTTACAACAGTGTCAGAGGCCCCTGTCTTACACCAGTTGCATCATAATCCCCAAAGACATTCCCCAGTGAAGAACTGGGCATGATGGTGCAGCACTTCATCCCATCCCACCCTCAGAACTAAGTAGGCATGTGTGTGCCAAGCTGGCTCAGGGCCTAAGTAAATATGCAGAAGCCCAGTGAAGGTTGGTTGAATTAGAGTATACCTCTGCTGATGTTACCTTAATAAATGATCACAAATTTAGGCTTGTGGCACATAGCAAATGAGGATTTATTTTATCCTCTGCACTGTTTTTCTACAGAGCATGTTTAGTTGCTGTAAATTCAACATATCCTATTTATTTTAACTCTGCAGGATTCTATGACCTGAGTGATGGTGGTTCCTGCTCACTCTCCAATTCTTGCACCTCTGTGTACTGTGAGTCTATCTCCTCATCCCACACCAGTCTCTTACCCAGCTCTCAACACCCTAAAACGAGGCTCAGTGTGTTTGATTACCGACCCAAATCTGCAGATGAAACTACTGTGCACACCACCAGCTTCCAACAGCAGGGGACCTATGTCAGCGATGGATGTCGGATTGCAACTAGCAGAGATGTTTCTGGGACTCCTGCCAGGTCCAGACCAAGGCCTGTTTCCACAGGTAATTGATAGCAGAACTGGGTACTTCATTCAAGAGAAGGGCAGATTGCTGGTTATTACCCTTAGGACCTTGTTTAGCCATGTGTAATTAATATATAGCTCTCATTTTCAATATACAAAGTGAGAGTAGATCAAAATCACAAAACCAAACCGTTCACTGTCCCACTTCCCCGTGTCTCCATGCTCCTGATACTTTTAAACAGTAAAAAATACTAGAATGAATCAATAAAAAATATGTAGATAAGACAGTAACAAATACGAGGACCTATGCATTTAGAAATGGAAAAATACTCCAGTGTATGAGATAAAATTGTAAAGACTATTAAGACATTTTTCTTCAGTTTCAGTATTTGAAATACCTTGTGTGAAAGTGCAGGAATGTACGAAGGATTTCAAGTAAACTCAAAATTCTCTATTTACACAAATTAATCTTGACTCACACAATTACTCTTTTTTGTAATTTATGATGTACAGTTAGGGACAAAAAATGCCAAAAGTTAATTGACTATCTAGAGAGCAGGCATGAGCCTAAAAGTGGATCAGCCATGAATTTGCATCATACCTTCAACGCAATGGACAAGTCTATTAATATTCCAGATCTCTTGTTTACCTTCTGTAAAGTGACATCATATCACTTCTTATCACAGATTCTTCCGTAGCCTCAAAGCAATCTGGTGTTAGAGTGATCCAGCAAGATGTGTAGCAGTTCCATTATAGAAACAGGGAAGCTATGGGGAACGTCATTTCAAGTACTGTGCCACTCTGGAATCATTCCCACAGCTACTTGACCTGAGCTTAACTCACCTCTGGCTTGCTTGGAACAGAAACAAAGACCACCTATTCTATACTTAGGTGTGTAGACACACCTGAAGGGATGACAGTAATTACAGCACAAAAGCAAAGTCTTCTCAAGACTTGTCAAAAGCTGAGTTTAATGACCCATGGCTTCCATGTTCACATTGCACACATTTTGCTCTCTCAGAAACTTTCCTGCCTTAAAACATGTTGCTGAGACTCCAGGGGCTTTATGTTTGGTGTTTTGGTTTCTTTTTCATATAGCACAAAAACGGATACTGAGCTGATACTGAGCAGGGGTGTGGGAGAGAGACTTCAGACCTCCTTCAGCCCTTCTTCCTGGCTAAAGCCTCTTGCTTCCTTCACAGTGAAAAACAAAAGTAGTGGGTATAGCCTTGAAGAAACAATTCTTATAAAGTTGACCATATTGCAGGAAGTGAAGCAAGATTTTCCTTCAGAAAATTATCATTTGGAGAGGGGAAGAAATTTATCTTTTCCTCTCCTTAGAGGAAATTGCAAGTACAGACCAATTGCGTTTTCTTTCATTGGCAAGCAGAAAGCTTGCTGAGACATTGCAAGCACAGCATGCTTTTGACTCCTTCCTGTTTGTTTGCAAAAGAGCGCAGCATTACACACTGCCAACAATTTCTTAAAGAATTTTTATTATGAAATTAGGTTGTTAACCTTTGTCATGGCAGGTCTGTGCATAGGTAGTGCACTGCAGACCACCCCAGAATTCTGCAATCTTTTAAAAGCTTCCTCTAACAGGACATAAATAGTCATCGTGTGACTATTCACATAGTTTGTGGATGATGCGGTTTAATGTGATGGTTGAGTTTCATGATAGCATGAAGCACCCACGAAATTGGTTAACTGAGGATTTGTTGACACTGAAGTCTGCATTGTAGTACAGAGAAATCCAAGCTAACTGGTTCCAGAATTCTTGCTCCCAGAGGTAACACAGCACCCTAGTGCTCTGTTGAATGACATGTCTGGATGGAAGAACCTTTCTTCACACAAGAACACAGCCTCTCCTCTCTATACATAGGAGATGCTGCTGGGAGGAGGGTTCTGCAGTCAAGAAGAGTAAATTACAGCACCCTTGACAGTACTCCACAATAGAAGAGATAGGAGTTGGTGTCTATAAATGTCATCTTCAGAGACTATACTTCCCACATGCCTGAGTAGTTAGCCTTAGATTTTTTTCCTCTGTGAAAATAAAGATTCTTCAGTTCATTCTTCTACGGCTTCTCTGCTAAGAAATAAAAGTAATCCCTTGGTTTTGTCTAGTTGGGTTCCTGCTGGTCTGAGGATATTTTTTTGTACATGCATAGATTTACTTTCATCCAAGTAGCACAATATAAATTTCCTGCAAAGGTAAGAGTTTTATTATTGGCATTAAAAGGCATTTTAAATTCTGTTGTGCTTAGGTGATAAAAGCTTTGAAGTAATTAATTGACCTTGGAAGACTGAAATTACTTTCTTTATCCATGCTACTGATTTTAGTAAAAGCTATCACATCTCTCTGATACAGCACTTTTAGCATGAACCAGGTTGATTGTAATTGTCTGTGGTTTAATTAGGTTGTTTATTTTCATCCACTATATAGGTGACTTGGAAAAGCTCATTCCAGCGGACACTAGATTTCAGAAAGAAATGGATCCTAAATCCATGTTGCCTCTGTGCAATAATGGAGACATGCACTTGCTCAGCCTGGACCCCAAATTCCAGAATGACCTGGTCTCCAAGAATGGCATAGATGTGTATCCTTACCCTAGCCCCCTCCATGCAGTGGCTTTACAAAGTCCCCTTTTCTCCCTGGTGGGAACATCCCCAAAATCAGACTTCCAAACTCCTCCCAGCAAACCTATGCCTAGTACAACAGGTCCCAGCTTGATTAAGACTAGGCCAACCACTGAGGTCAAGCCAGGGGGTTACATCAATAAATTACTGCAGCTGACGAGATGCAAAGGGAGCAGTCGGGCTGAGGCCAGTGAGTGGGTTTTACCAAAGAACCAGCCAGCCGCAATGCACCAGAGACTCATTATAACCCCCAGCACTGGTGGAGTGAAAATTAACAGCAGCAGTAGCCAGCTGGAAAAGCAGACAAGTTCTCTGGAGAGTAACAAAGATGAAGGGAAGCTGTCACGAGAGGTGCCAGAGGGAGAATGTGCCAAGCAGCAGGAGATCATGAGCTGTATGAATGACGAGCAGTCATCCACTGGACCTGTCACAGAACCATCAGCTGTGAATAGTTGTTATCCTGCCAAGTCAGCAGCAAGGGGCTCTCCTCTGGCAGAAGAAACAGAGAGCAGCGTGGAGCGCAGTTTGTCCTACTCACAGCTGTGTCAAGGGGACTCTAGCCCAGACACCTGGAATGCTAAAGCTGTCCCACCCAAAAAACTGCCACCCAAAAAACAAAGGTGTGGCAATGCCAAGTTGGCTTACACTGGCGGTCGTGAACGAGTGGCACGAGCTGAGTTTGTCCATGCTCATTTTGTCCCTGCAGAATCCCATCAAGTCCGGGTAAAGTTTGCCAGCTCCAAAACAAAGGCAGTGAAGATAAAGAGGAGGAACAGCGAAAAAGTTGTTCGACCTGGGAAGCAAGCCTTCTGCATGGAGAAGGTGAGAGGGTCTCATGGGGCCACCAAGCTGCCTGCTGAGTGGAATCCACTCCAAAGACCACAAGGAGTGAAGAGCCTCATGCGGAGACCTTCGTATTCTGGTGACATGGCTGGCAGATCATGCTCAGAGTCAAGTCTGTTCCCAGTGCAGGTCAGGCTCCCCACTGTGCCATCCAGGCTAGAGCTCTACGGAGCCTCTGCCAATGCACTGTATTCCCTGGAAGCAGCTTGTGCAGACACAGCCAACAGGAAGAAGCAGCGCAAGTGGCAGTCCACAGTGGAGATCTCTGCCAAGGCCCACCCAGCCAGCCTGTCTCACAGCTTTGGCCCGGGAGCACCAAGGCAGCCAGCAGGGAGAGCTGGCATCCTGCACACTGTCAGCATGAGGGCTCACTCCAAGGGTCAGCACTACGGAGATTGTGCCAAAAGCGAGTCAGACCACTCTGAGTACTCTGCAGAGTGTGCTTCCCTCTTTCATTCCACCATCGCAGAGACCAGCGAAGGGGAGGTCAGTGATTTCACAACCAACAGATTTGGGGACAGTGAATCCAGTGAAGGTGATTGGGATGGCAGCAGTAACAGTAGCAGCCTTGCTCTTGACTATGATGTGGGGGATGAAAGTGAGTTGATTTGGCCTGAAGGTTCAGTCAGACAATCCGTGACTGTCCAGGCCTCTTCCAAGCCTCTTCCTCCAGTGCCCAAAATCTGTCGCATCAAAGCTTCAAAGGCACTAAAAAAGAAGATAAGGAGGTTCCAACCTGCCTCTCTGAAGGTCATGACCATGGTGTAAGGGAGAACAAGCATCTATTTCTTACAGTGAGACATCCTGCTGGCTCTCATTTGCAAAATAAAAGGACTAGTGCAGAGAAAAGGTCTTTCTTAAAGGAGCTCTGAATAATCCCTGAGTCTACAGAAGGAATCTGTTTGTTAATGCCTGGACATAAATGTCACTGTATGTAATTCCCTCTTTTGCCATTTATTCTGTAAATATGAATCTCTGTGTATATTATGTGATTACTTTTTTAATTACCCAGAAGGGTCACCATGGTAAAAATGAAAAGAACCTCCCCTGTAAGATTTTAGAGGTAGGCCCTTGGTGGTTTTTTAACCATATGCTCCCACAGAATCAGACCAGACAGTAAGACTTGCTAAGAAGAAAGTATACTTCCCTCTTGCAGTCTGAAGTCTGTATTACCCATCCAGCTGTTATTGTGGTCATACGGAAAAGCTCTCTTTCCTACATAGTTTTATTTTCAGATCAGCCATCCCATACCTTCTCCCAAACATCAGGAGGATGAGTCTTCTTCCATAAAAACATAGTATGCTTAATCAAGAAGGCAAGTGTATTTGTGAATGAGAACAAGATTTCAGTTTGCTTCCTTTTTTTTTTTCAAAATAGCATAGGGTTGTTTTTTCAACACCCCTCTTTATGATGTTCCATGTTATTCATTTGTTGAATGGATGAAAGAACGTGAGGGCCACATGCCACAGTGTGTGATTAGCTGAGACTGAGATAATAGCTTTGCCCCTGAAATTGCAAACTCAATAAATACTATTTAATGTACTTCTGCAAATTATGCTTGTCTGACTTTGATGTCTGAAAAAAATTATTCTGGTCTATGATATGAGACAGTTCTGTGTTTTTATGATAACTGTGCAGAGGGGTTCTTTTATCTTTTCAGAGGATCACTGTAGCTCAGTCATAACCAGGGTCTGCTCTCCCTCTACCTCAGGAAAGCTTTTTCAGCACCTGCTTCTAAATGAAAGGATTTGAAAATGGTATTTATATTGAGGACAGGGTAGTTTTTAACTGACTCACTTAAAGTGATGAAATTTTGTCAGAAGAAACTCTTAATTTAAAACATATTTATGTATACGTAATGTGTTTTGAATGCATTTAAGGGCACTGATATGAAGTTTTATATCAGTGTCTAAATTGAAGAAGTCATTTAGTAAAGAAGTCACAAAATGAATTTTTTGTGTTCGGACAAGCAGCCCTAATTCTTTCCTCTGAGCACAGCAATCTGGAAGCTGAGCTGAAGTTCACCCTGAATTTACAAAAGAGCAGGTATTTCCCTCCTACATATTTCAGTGCTCAGTCTGAGTACATTCCCGGCCTAGGAGATGTAGGCATTACCTCATTCAGCTGCCTGAACTGGGTCTGAAACAAAAAGTGCTTTGCAGAAACTGGGTAAAAGAATGATTGTTTATTCCAAAGATTCAGTAGCAAACAGAAATATTGAAAGACAACTTTCACCCAATGCCTTCAATTTAGAAGCTACTTTATGTTTTGAAACCACTCAATTTTCAAATAATTTGTAGAAAATGAGAAAAGTAAAAGGTATGTAAAGTCATTTAATTCAAGTATTCTAACTAGCACATCATCCTTACTGTAACTAGGAAAACATTACATTTTAGTCAGTGGAATATGTTTGAACATTTTTTCATTGTTCCAAGAGCATTGGACATAACCACTCTGGTAGGATTAGTTGGAGAATTTCACAGGTCTGGCAGTGGTTTCTTGTTCAGCATGTCTAGCAACAGAACAAACAAAACAGTGATTTATGCTTTGTTGACTTTCTACACCATGAAAGGATTCATTTTTCCATTTACACAAAAGGTTTCATTTGGGGGAGTGTGTCAAAAGTTACATATGATCTTTTAATCCAGAGATTTTCTGTGTTGGGTTGGGGTTTATTGGTTAGATAGGAATTTTGAGGGTGTTTTTTTCATGAAGGAGGAAATTGTTCTTAATTAGAAAACTGCTCTGGGTAGGAGTGTTCTGAAACCTGGTAAAATGTGCCACCCAGTAGCTCCTGCCTTTTTATCTCAGAGTAAGCTTAAACAATAAGTTTGTGGTCCCACAAGTCAGTAAATCCCGCTTTAGGGCTGTTAATACTCCCTCAGAAATGTTGCCAGACACATGATGAAAGTGCTGATACAGAATGAACTCAGGCTGCCAATTCAAATAAAGAAAAATGATGACTTAATTTTGTACTGACAGGTTTTATGCCAGATGAGGTATCATTGCCTCTACAACTCACACTTTCTGCCAGGTCAGATACCTTCTCTCCTCCCAAAGCCAACATAAACTCAACATAAAAGCATAAAGCTGGCCCAAACAACACTCTGTGCTTTGGCTAATTTGACAGAAATACAATTATGTGCCCGCACTTGATCCAGGGGAAACCTGTGGTGCTGGAGAACCCCAGCAATGCGGAGAACCTGCTGTAAGGTGTTGAGGTATTGCTATGTGCAGTGATGCTACTGAGCTGTGACTTTTTGGCGAGGGCAGAACAGGTGGTGCTTCCCCTCTGTACTGCAGGACATTGGATATTCTCCTTAGCACTGCCCATTGGAAACACTGCTTTCATCTGCTGGAGCAGAAACTGCACTGGGACCAGGGCTCTGGAGGGAAGAAATAGGACAGTGCAAAACAGCAGGAGACTCGGGTAGCCAGTAGTTCAGGTATACTGGCACAAAAACATGATAATTCAGTGTACTGTAGTGTGTTTTGTTGGCAAGGACACCAAGAATTTTGATAACCACTGGGTACAAGTGTGATGCCTCTGTTCATCAGAGACTGGGCTAGCTCTGCTGTCAGGACCCCAGAATACCTGCCACCTAAGCAAACAGCTGAAACATACTTAAAATCAACAAACGTCAATAAATGCTCTGATGCGCTGTTCTTTTATGTGTATGTACTAAACATCATAAAACTACCATAAAAATATATTTTAGCTTCATCATCAAAATAAGGGATGCCCATTCCTGGGATCATGGCCATACAAAATAGAAGTATTCACCGTTAGTTTTCCTTTTCAGAAGAAACCTACCAAACCTTTTTACCTCAGCCTCTTGTACTATAAAGGCCCAAGAGAATGCAAAAAGTGTCAGTTGGTGGTACAATTAGAAGTCTAGCACCAAACCTGATAAACTTTGGGAGTGAAAAGTTTAGCACTTTCACTGTGACTTGATTAGCAAGTTTATAGATCGAATAGCTCTAGATAGATTTAATGGCTTCAGAGCAGCTTTATGCAGAGTTTCTGTTGCAGGAGCTAACATCTATCATCACTCCAAGGCTCCTGAAACAATCATCTACTGTTGAAATCTATGTGCCAGATCAGCAGTTTCCTTCTGTCCTAGGCAGACATTTACACTTCAGTGTAGGAGCAAATTGCTCCTAAACCACAATGGAAAGAAAAGAAAGTAAAGAAGAGAATAGAAGGGGAATTAAGGAAGCTTTAGGAGCAATTTGCAGAATAGATAATAATTATGATTTTAAAAACTTTTGTTAATCCTTTTATTGCACAAACAATTTTGGAACTGGATAATTACCAGTTTTCTTGGCCTTGACACAATCTTAGATTTTGAAGTATACGTGCATTACCCAAACCATGGGATAGAGTCAGAGAACTGATGTTTTGTCAGAGACACCAACCTTCAGACCCTCATTTGCAATGACTTCTGGTCAGGCAGGGCACTGAGCAAAAGAAAGGCAGTGGTAAGTCTCAAAATCAGCTGTGGATGATTCTCATACTGATGAACTTGAGCCCAGTGGACATTTTAAGGCTGTGCTGGAGTCTTTTGTGTTTTCTTCCCCATTCTAGTCTGAAGCTCTGAAGGTGAGAGCTGAAGGAGAGAGGTGCTTCAAGTGCTGCTGGAAGGCAGGTGGTAGCAGCAGCTCTTTGGTGAGTGAGTTGTTGCCAACAGGATGAATCAGGCTGAGCATTGCACCAAAGGGTTCCAGCCCCACCAGCCTTTGCTAAGTTCTTTAAGATCCTCTTAGGGCTGTAACCCAGCCTCACCACTGCTCATGTGCCAGTGCTGTGATTTGGATGCTGCCCTTGAAATATGGGCCACCAGCACCCAAAGCCCACCACAGGCTCATCACTCATGAGCTACAAGATGAGGGAGTCCAATCCAGTCCTTCCAGACTACCAAGTACAAAATCCCTAGTTAGGCAAAGAAGTGTGCAGCCAAATAAGACATCTGTGACTGCTGTCCGACAGGGAACAAGCCAACAGCATGCTAGGGAAGGACTATCCTACTGCTGCTCTTCTGAAGCAATAGCAATGGCTTTCATTTTCCAGCCTCTTTGAGCCCTTCTCAATTCCACTGAGGCTGAAGGATTCACTCCAGCTGTGCTCACTGGAACAGAGCAGCTCAGCTTTTAAAGCACAACCCCACTCTGCCCTACGCAAAGCCTCTGCTCCTGCAGAGAGCTGTAGTTCCTATTGCTCCCTGACCACAAACTCAGTCCTCCTCATTGAACATGCTCCCAAGGAAGCTGCCCTGACATGAGCAGCAGGAATGATCATGTGAAGGGAAGAACATCATAGTCCCACGTCTGAAACTTGCCTGTGAGGAATGCAAGCAATGACACCAATACATAATCAGTTTTCACATATCATATATATATATATATATATATATATATAAGATAAGGAAACCTGGAGTTCCACCATTAGCTGCAACTCTGTATGGACAACTACTGTGATACATCAGCTACAGATGAAGAGTGATCAACAGGAAAATGCTCAGCTAAGACTTGATTTTTGGTATATATACTTATGTTTGAAGCTATCACAGTATGCCTGCTTATATTGCAATGCAGAACATCAGCAGAATAACAGCTGAAATGAGCAAAAGTCCAGGCTGTATGAGTTCTATTAATTCTATGTGTTATGATAATAAAGCCTGTAGACTTTTGCTAGCTAATACTGATTTTTTTTTCCCCCAAGCATTCTAGTGTTTGTCCTGTCTCAGCATTTATAACTAGGGGTAGAGGGCATCAAATTCACCCATGACACAATTCCTGGGAAGTCATTAGAGCTACTCCACAGATTCATTTAACCTCCTCATGCTGTTCTCAGGATGTCAGCAAGCAGGATTATTGGCATGACAGATGAAAAATAAGGAAGATTTCAGACCTCACTTTCATTCTTGAAGGTGCTGCAGGTCTGTGGAAGTAACTGTGTTTATGGCTGTCTTGGCTGGGGAGAATGCTGTTGCCATGTCACATCTCTGTTAGTGATGAATCAGGGAAATGGTTAGGGCTTTACACAGTGATGGAATTTCATGTTTATTCTGGTTTTCAAAATACAAACTGAAAGAGTATCAGCAGTCTGCTGATCCTCTAAAACTACAAATCAAGAGGAGAAAGGCCACAGATCAAACTGACTAGGCAGGGTTAATCAGGCAATGTTGAACCCAAGTTGTAGTCTTAGAAGCCCCAAATGAAGAATCTTAGTTCCAGTAGACTTGGGCATCTGGATCTGCTCAAAAGCTCTGTCAAATCATTCTGGATGCCTACTTTTCAGCCCAAGATGGATATGTCAGCCTAGCAAGTTGCTCTGAGGAAATATGCATTACTGCAAACCTTCACTCCTACATTTACATGCAATATTTTCTCTCTACTCCTAGTGTACCAAAAGTGATTTTAAAAAGCTAAAGGTTCTAACTCATGCAGTGTGAAATTATGTTTGAGACCCCACCAAATTCTTCTACAATTTGCAAGATGGAATGGTGTGGATACACTAACTCTCCAGACAAGACTTATGCT